GCAGGGATGTGAAGGTGGAAACATGAGGTAGGAACGTGGCCTCGTGCAGGCAGAGTGAGCCTGGGGCTGCCTGCCTGCCAAAGCATACCTCAAAGCTCTGCTGCCTGTGTCGGGTGGATGAAGATCCCTTCTGCCTGCCCCTGTGTGCCTGCTCGCCCCTGTTCCCCTGCCATCCCCGGGACACCCCAGCCACGATGCTCCCCTGTCATCTCCACAGCTCAGCCTGGATGTGGGATGAGTGCTGGGGGACACTGCTGTCCTCCCCAGTCACTCTCTGGCCCTGCACCCATCTCCAGCAGAGGAAAGAGCAGGGAAGCTCAGCCATCACACCTCCTTCCTGCCGTCCAGGGCGAGCCCCAGAGCCCTGCTCCCATCTCTGTTGCCATTAGTGCCTCCCAAATCCCCCTCGGAAGAGGGTGGCTGTCCCTGCCTCGCCTTGCCCGGCACCCAAACCTCCAGGTGAAGGGTGGACCCCGCAGCCTCCAGCCCAGTCGTCGATGTCCCACCCCCTAGGAGCTGGCGGGGAGTGAGGGCAACCCCATCCCTCAGCCCCCCGACATCATAGCGGGCCCAGCCCAGGCGGGCTGGTGTGCACTGAGCCATTCCAAACATCCAGCACTGCTCACCACCTGCCTCAGCCACTGACAAATGTTTCATATGATCCTGGGCGCAGCCGTGCTGCGTCAACAGCTCCTAAGCCTGAGATTTATGGCTACCGGGCAAGGGGCCGAGATGAAAGCAGTGTTACAGGCACTCGCCCACCCCTCCCCACCAGCAAAGGGGCCGGTACGCCGGGCCAGGCATGGCTCCCATGGAGGAAATCATGATGTAAGAGCTGTTCAGTACTCCCCACAAGAGAATCGTGTTTAAAAGGAAAATCCACCCCTGGCCCTGCCATCCTTGGAGCAGCACAGCGTGGCAGACAAAATGCTTGTGTTGGAGGGACTGCACTCAACTTGCTGCCTTGCCACTGGCTGGCCCCAGTCACTTCCCTGTGCCTCAGTTTCCCCACAAGAACAAAGCCTTTAACCCCTCTGTAAGGTGCTCCTGTGGCAGGCAAAAGCAGCAGCTGAACCCCCTAACCTGCTTCCCCAGATAAATCTGCTCCCAGGGGAGCTGCCAGGACCGGGAGGTTAAACTCCCCCTGGGGGCTGCTGGCCCGTGTTCCCCAGCAGCAGAACGTAAGGAAAACCCATTGTGGGCTCTGTCCTGCATCCACCATGCACCAGAGCTAAAAAAAGCTGTGAAACACACGCTTGGCTCCTGAGTCAGTAACTAGCATGGGCAGTTATAACCAGTTTCACCCGGTGCCAGCCCTGCACCCCAAGTCCTGTGTGAAATGCTAAGGACTTAGAGGTCCCCCAGCTCAGCTCCTCTGAAACCCGGCACAACTGCCCCACTCAGCGCCTCTGTCACCCACTGCCATGTAGAGGAAGAAATGATGGACTTACCTGTCTGTGCTAACAGCCTGGCCATGCCTCCCCTGCAGAGGAAAGGAAAGTATGCTCCAAGCTCAGCAACAGCAGCATTTCAAAACAGCCCTTAAAATCCAAGAGAGCTTAACAGCAAGAGGCAACAAGAGATGAGAGCCCTTAATTAATTAGCTGTATTTGTGAAGCAGGAGAGGGCTGCCTGCTAAGTCTGCCCCGTGGCACAGCCCCCTGCCAGGCTGCTGCCTGCTCTCCCCACGTGCTGCCCACCACTTGTGGCATTGCTCTGCATCTCACCGTGAAACTTTCAGCCTGTTTTGTTTCCACAGCAGGCAGCAGAGGATCTCACATCACAGGAGCCCAGGGGCAGTTGAAAAGCACCAGCAAAGGCTCTTGGCTCAGCAGCATGGCATGAGACCATCTCCTGTAATGAACGCAGATGCCCGTTCACAGGGCCCCGAGCGTGTCGACACCATCTGCGGTGAGATGGTGCTGCATGCTCATGCCCGACTGCCCCACTTAGATTTCAGCAACAAAAACTACCGCCCTTTGCAACACAAGGCCTTGTTTAGCTGCTTTAGACAGTGGTTCAGATTGGTTTCAGTGATCTGAGATCAACAGCTTTGAGCAGGCCTGGGCAGCCAGAAAGGCCCAAAGGTGTGCAGGCAGTGAGAAAAGACTCACTGACCTGAAGGGCAGAGGACCAGAACATCCACTCACCTTCCCAGCTCCCCAGGCAGCTTCACTGTGGCTGATCACAGACCCACAGAGATGGGTGCCAAACCACGCACACTGCCCAGTCTTGAAGTGTTTTCCCTAAATTGCCCTGGCAGCATGAAGGAATTTTCCCCTTACCCCAGAATTTGGTGCTGGGACAAGCTTAACTTCCAGGGATAAGGGATGAGCCTGGGGACATATCTCCCTGCCTGGCAAACACAGCCCTGGCACAGGACCTGTCTGTGCTCAGCTACTACATCCCCACAGCACTCCACCTCATGTGAGGGCAAGGCTAGCCAGGGGCTCTACTCTGGCTAGGTTTTAACATGTCCGAGTAGGTAGCTCAGTTTCTAAGCCACAGTATGAGGTGCCAGCTCCGCTCCTCCGGACAGCAGCAAATACCCCTCAGACATTTCTCCAGCCTCCTAGGCATTCAGCGCCATGGGCAGAGCTGTGCTTTGCAGAGTGTTTAAGCACTTGGCACCTTCCAAACAAGGTTTCATCAGCTCTGGGGAGCAGACAGGCCAGAGGCAGGACTGGTGGCACACAGCCTGTGCATCACCTCTAGTTACCGGGGTCTCAGGGAAGATCACCTGGGTCAGAGCTACCAGCCCCCATTCCAGCCCACACCACTGCTCTCCACTGAGGAGGAAACACTACACAACCTCCTCAGCAGCCTGCACTGTGTTTACCTGATGGAGGCCACAGGTGGTTAGTAGGTAGCAAGGCATGTAGGATGGAGGTGGTTTGTCTTTCTCCTTCTCTACGATCACTACAGAGACCCTCACCCCCCTCATGCTGCAGCTGCTGGAAGAATAAACATGAGATGAGGAAAGTTGGTTTCAGATTTTTATTTTTTTTGTATTCTCTCTTTCAGCAGCAGTGACTGAAATAGAAACCGTGGTGAGTCCCATCATGGGGGACTAACTTGGTAAAGACAGGGCAGGCAGTTGCCACTGCCCCGTGCCAATCTGTATAAACATCAGCCATCACTACTTAGTAACTAGATGGTTTTCAAACAAGTCCATGAACGGTCATAGACTACATATAACAACATGCCAGTTCACAACAGGGAACAACTTATGTGTACTTCTTAATTTCATCATACAGGACTAAGACAAAAGCACCACCCATTCCTCGGAGTACATTCGACCATGCACCTTTGAAAAACGCCTTGGAGCCCTCGTCCCGGGCAATCTTCCGCCAGCAGTCAATAGTGCCAGTGTACATTATGTCAGCTGCGGGAGACAGACAGTGTTAGGAATTGGATGTCTAGGAGCCCCGACATCCAGGTCAGAAATGGCCTAATGTATCTGCCAGCTTCATAACTTCAAGCACATCCCATTTCTTGATTGACTTTCTCCAGCATTAGCACATGAGAAGACAAGATCACCCAGGAGATACACTGCTGCATTACCCCTAGGAGACACTGGAAGGACCGGTTCGAGCAGAAGGCAGCTAATGTTTGCTTTGACACCAACACTTCCAGACCCAAATGCTATTGCACAGTCACTCAGGCTGTGGCTGAAATCAGGGGTGTCTCTTCTTGGCCCAGAGACACTAGTTTGCAACATCCTTGGGCTGTTCTGCTGCTTCCTACCTACTGACAGTATCTGACTCATGCACGCCACCTTACAGGAGTGCTGCAGAGACTGACCCAGCTGTGCCCCTCACCTGACATCTGCTTCCGCAGCCCCTCTCACACTCTGCGGGTTTCAAGAGGTGAGGATATCTATAGGGCTTGGTGACAGCTAAGCCACTCTGCCTTCACCTCAGCTCCACCACCAACTGTTGATTCAGGGATGCCCAATACTTCCTACCCGAGGAGGTAGAAACTTACTTCCTTTACGTCCAGACTGCATCATCATGCGACGACGAACCGTATCGAAAGGGTAGGAGGTCAAACCAGCGACAGCAGTGACGGTCTGAGCGATCATCCAGCTGACAACAATGTGGGTGTTCTTTGGGTCCGGAAGCATGCCTGCAGGAGAGAGGTTCTGATGAGAACGGTGAGCCACCAGCATCTGCCGAGACGCACGACAGGCCTGCTGCAGCCCAGCATCTCCCTTTTAGCGCGATTTTGGTCAACCTACCCTTCGCTGTGTCATAGATGCCAAAGTAGGCGGCTCTGTAGATGATGATGCCCTGGACAGAGACATTGAAGCCCTGGTACAGGCCCCTGAGGCCATCCGACCGGAAGATTTTGACCAGGCAGTCACCGAGCCCCCTGAACTCCCGGTCAGCCCCGGCTTTACCCACATCCGCTGCCAGGCGGGTTCGGGCAAAGTCAAGGGGGTAGACGAAGCAGAGGGAGGTAGCGCCGGCGGCGCCCCCGGACGCCAAGTTACCGGCGAAATACCGCCAGAACTGGGTTCGCTTGTCCACGCCGCCCAGGAAGATCTGCTTGTATTTGTCCTTGAAGGCGAAGTTGAGGGCCTGGGTGGGGAAGTACCGGATCACATTGGCCAGGTTGCCGCGCCAGAAGGAGAGGACGCCCTGCTCCCGGGGGATGCGCACCACGCAGTCGATGATGCCCTTGTACTGCTTGTCGGCGGCGATCTGCTTGCTGGCGTGCTGCACCTGCGGGGGGCGAGGCGCCGCCGTCAGCGCCGCGACCCCCGACGCTGCCG